AAGTCATTTGGGCGTTCCACAGCCGAGAGCGTGGCTCTATATATATTTACATCGGCACGGTGACGCTCGCAAATGTCCGGTACTAGGCTTTCGTCCTCGTGCTCATTGTTCAACTCTTTCCCCAAACGTTTATCCTCGCTTTGCTTGTCGGCGTCGCGTCGTGAGACGAGGAATTAAATTCGGATCCCTCACAGGGCAGTGTAACCCATTTTTTTTCGCGATTTGAACAACGGCCCCACGGAAGCGGATATCACTGAGCTACGTCTGAGACCCCTTCAAAATCTCCTGCCCTGCCACTGGGAGTACGGTTCACCACATGGCAGTCGAACCGATATATATATATTTTTTTTAATCCTGCGCATGGTCATTTATCCAAACCTAGTACCGCGCGGAACCAAATTGAATGTGATTGTTATTTTATGCATTCATCGGTGACCGGACTGAGACCGTCAACTCGCTCCCCTTCAGAACCCAGCTTAATCACGGGGCAGCTGAAACCTGGATTCAAACCCAGGCCCTCAGCCGTTGCAGCCGCCTGCGTCTCCTGGCCGCTTCAGCCGCCCGATCGCTTCTTACGCGAGCGTCCCCCTCCTTTCGGGCTCATCGGCACAGCACGGCGGTGAGTTGGCAGTATCCACGTTGCGTGCTGGCACGGCGGGATGCTGTTCAGTGACGGGATGTTACAGCACCATTGTCGAAGCTGGGCTTGGCTGGTTTACAAAAGAATCTCCGTGTGCACCACCGCCGCAGTACGGAAACGCCCGACACAGCCTGTGCCAGATGCCATAAGCTAATTGATATTGCCAAGGCTGCTTTGCGGCACTCTGGCTAATTGGCTTTGAAAATGCGCCCATCCCCTCGTGAGCCCTATTGGTTTTTTTTTTTATTTGCGTGCATTTGCGAGTTCGAATTCTGTCTTTTGCGGCCGGGTCTCCTCTCTCCCAGTGTCCGTCCTTGCCAATCCAATCGCACGCCTCCTATACTACCGCTCCCGCGAGACTCCTCCAAACCCCCTCTGTTTTATAGACCCGTATTTGTATTTATTTTTAAATAGAAACGACCAATAGCTGTGCCTATATGACACGGGGTGGAGCGGTAGGACAATGGTTAGTGCAATGCGCTGCGAGCCCGGTGGCCTGAGTTTGGTTCCCGATCACGGCTAACATCAGTGGCAAGTGATATCTGAACCGATTCTGGAAGCCCCCACTCCCGCCCACTCCCATACCCCCCACCACCCCCGTTCACCAACCAGCGTGGTGAAGTATGGTCAAACGACTCCCATGACTGCCCACTCTGTGACACACTTTAAACATGTGTAGTGACATATAATGGGTCACTGCAGTGCCTAGCGCCATCTATTGACAGAGAGAGGAATAGTGGGTATAGTAGCGCTCTCTGCCAGCAGAGTATATGATGATGTCATGGTATAGTAGCGCTCTCTGCCAGCAGAGTATATGATGATGTCATGGAGGAGGTCTCTGGGGCTGGCAGAGTAGGGGGCAATTGAGGACGTAGTAGCCCGATTGGCCGGCAGGGGCACGTGATGGGATGTAGGCCAAAGGTGACGAAGGGGACACGTGTTGTAGGGCCCACAACCTTCTAGTGAGTTCCAGAAGGGGGTGTGGCCGAGGGCGGAGCCAGGCAGGGGACACGTAGAAGGCGATCCAGAACCTTCTAGTAGGTTCTGGATGGGGGCGAGTCCGAAGGGGGAGCAGGGCCACGCTGAGGGACATAAAAGGGAGTTCCTGGGGCTGCATCGGGGCTGTCTGCTGGAATGGAACCCGCCGTGCTGCGTCTGGGTCAGGCAGTGTGCCGACTGACCTGACCCATTTCTGTAGTTACCCTGTTGTGGTTGTAGAATAAACGTGTTGCCTCCTGAATCAGTGTGTCTCTCAAGTGAACCCACTACGCATGTGTCTCAAGGCTTCTAAAGACCACACGCACGAACACACACAGAATGGTCCTTCAGGGCCCTCAAGGTGGCGGGCTCAGCCGGACACAATCGCGAGATTGACTTGTGGCGGCGAGAGACCACCAGGTGGGGGTTCAGGGCCATGCCGGGAAGAAATTTGGATGGCTTTGTGTCCGCGAGACACGAGACGAGACGGAGATGAAGGCGTGAATTTGAGAACGCACGCAGGTTAGGGATATCCTTCGGACAGCCAAGGAATGTGAGCTTGGGTGGGGACGTCGCTTGTGTGAGGGATGATGGAAGGTGACCATCAGTACAGATCGAGGGTTCGGCCATGGGGTGGAACGCGCACGAGAAGATCGCCCACCGAGGAGATAAGAATCAGAATCCTCATTTATTACTGGAGGAATCCGATGAGCTTACAAGGCACTTTTTCAGAGACGTCCGGAGGAGATGGAGCGACGGTGACGGTGGGTGCCGGATGGAGGTTATCACACGGCGGGGTCGTGAGTGGAATGGCGATGGCTTTGGGAGGCCCTTCATCCAGCAGTGGATTGACCATGGCTGATGATGATGACGATCATGATCATGATGATTACACAGGAAGTACCGGGCAGTAAGAGGGCGCGTCGTGACACGCACTCGCATGCGCGAGGCCTGAGCAGACGACTGTCACTTGAGCAGACTCGTCCCAAAAGGTTTTTGAATGCTTGGGGCAAAAAATGCCCGGTGAGACCTCGCCTTGAGGGACCAGGCTCCGTCAACTCTTTGTAGGGGGCCCCTCGGATCCGGAGGCCCTACGTGCCTAGCCCCCCAACCCCGACTGTGTAAGCTCTAGAATATGACGGCTTTGTCTTTATTTTTTTCCCCTCCAATTGTTTTTGCACGTTGATGACAGCAGCGTTCCAGACAAGTGTGGCGTATATTGTGATTATCCATAAAGGAGGTTTTTGGGTTAGATCGCGGGTAACATTGGTCGCGACAGTCCACGTGCTAAACTACAGGAGTGCTTCAACAAAATGTGAACACTTTTTTGGGACTATCGTTTTAATAGAAAACTTACGGATAATAGTACACTGTAACATGATAACAAAATGTAATGTTAACAGCTTCAAAAGGTCAAAGAGTCCCCACTTGTTCGGCATCGTTGTCAACGCGTGGCCTAGAATCTTCTCCAGGTGATCTCCAGAGCCCGGAAGCAGCAACATTTATTGCAAATTCTCAGAAGTGTTCACATTTTGCTTTGAAGCACCCTGCATTATGATAATGATGGGAAGAAGAGTAAGAACAAAAACCCGGCGAAACTTAACAAACAACACTGGGCATAGTTGACTTACAGTGAGGGAAAAAAGTATTTGATCCCCTGCTGATTTTGTACGTTTGCCCACTGATAAAGAAATGATCAGTCTATAATTTTAATTGTAGGTTTATTTGAACAGTGAGAGACAGAATAACAACAACAAAAATCCAGAAAAACGCATGTCAAAAATGTTATATATTGATTTGCATTTTAATGAGGGAAATAAGTATTTGATCGCCTCTCAATCATAGAGATTTCTGGCTCCCAGGTGTCTTATATACAGGTAACGAGCTGAGATTAGGAGCACACTCTTAAAGGGAGTGCTCCTAATCTCAGCTTGTTACCTGTATAAAAGGCACCTGTCCACAGAAGCAATCAATCAATCAGATTCCAAACTCTCCACCATGGCCAAGACCAAAGAGCTCTCCAAGGATGTCAGGGACAAGATTGTAGACCTACACAAGGCTGGAATGGGCTACAAGACCATTGCCAAGCAGCTTGGTGAGAAGGTGACAACAGTTGGTGCGATTATTCGCAAATGGAAGAAACACAAAAGAACTGTCAATCTCCCTCGGCCTGGGGCTCCATGCAAGATCTCACCTCGTGGAGTTGCAATGATCATGAGAATGGTGAGGAATCCGCCCAGAACTACACTGGAGGATCTTGCCAATGATCTCAAGGCAACTGGGACCATAGTCAACAAGAAAACAATTGGTAACACACTACGCCGTGAAGGACTGAAATCCTGCAGCGCCCGCAATGTCTCCCTGCTCAAGAAAGCACATATACATGCCCGTCTGAAGTTTGCCAATGAACATCTGAATGATTCAGAGGACAACTGGATGAAAGTGTTGTGGTCAGATGAGACCAAAATGGAGCTCTTTGGCATCAACTCAACTCGCCGTATTTGGAGGAGGAGGAATGCTGCCTATGACCCCAAGAACACCATCCCCACCGTCAAACATGGAGGTGGAAACATTATGCTTTGGGGGTGTTTTTCTGCGAAGGGGACAGGACAACTTCACCGCATCAAAGGGACGATGGACGGGGCCATGTACCGTCAAATCTTGGGTGAGAACCTCCTTCCCTCAGCCAGGGCATTGAAAATGGGTCGTGGATGGGTATTCCAGCATGACAATAACCCAAAACACACGGCCAAGGCAACAAAGGAGTGGCTCAAGAATAAGCACATTAAGGTCCTGGAGTGGCCTAGCCAGTCTCCAGACCTTAATCCCATAGAAAACCTGTGGAGGGGGCTGAATGTTCGAGTTGCCAAACGTCAGCCTCGAAACCTTAATGACTTGGAGAAGATCTGCAAAGAGGAGTGGGTTAAAATCCCTCCTGAAATGTGTGCAAACCTGGTGGCCAACTACAAGAAACGTCTGACCTCTGTGATTGCCAACAAGGGTTTTGCCACCAAGTACTAAGTCATATTGTGCAGAGGGGTCAAATACTTATTTCCCTCATTAAAATGCAAATCAATTTATAACGTTTTTGACATGCGATTTTCCGGATATTTTGTTGTTGTTATTCTGTCTCTCACTGTTCAAATAAGCCTACCATTAAAATTATAGACTGATCATTTCGTTGTCAGTGGGCAAACGTACAAAATCAGCAGGGGATCAAATACTTTTTTCCCTCACTGTAAGTAAGTTAGGCTTGGGATGGAGTTGGGCGAGGCAAGCCAGCCAGCCAGCCACCCAGCCAGCCAGCCACCCGGACACACGAGGAGACAAACACACAGTTGCAGCGAGACAGAACCGCTCAGCTGATTAAATTGGAGGGTCCCCCCCCCTCTCTCATTTGCAATCCAGCCCGCGATACGAGATGGCAGCTGCATATATAAGCGAGGGGGCTGATGCGGCTGGATCCAGAGCGCAGTTCTCGCGGTGCACGGACGAAGGGTGGCTTTGTTTTGCTTGGTTTTGTTTTATTTCTAACACCAGGGATCAGATACAACGCAGGATTCCCTTCGCTTGAATTCGTTGACATTACGCGAGCGTCATCGCGCAACAGAACGCAACGGACTCTCGGACAACGTTTCGACCCGGTCACGGGCGAAGCGTGGATCGCGAGTGGTGTCGCGGGTAGCGCAGTTGGCGTTGTGCTGCCGATCCGCTGAGTCTGTTCGATTGTGCCCGGACGCGCCTCCAACATCGGTGAGATCTCCAGCGGGTAAGGTCCCTGGGATTTCTCTCCCCCCCCCCAACCCACCAAACCTTCACCACCGAACCCTCGCCAAACCGCAGTGACCCACGTCTTTAGAGAGGGAGGGAGACTTTCACTCTGCTAGCGGCTTGATTGACAGCCAGGGGGGGGGGGGGAGGGAGGTGGAGGGGGGTCTTGCTTAGACTGACGTTGGGAGTTGGTTTGCTGGCGAGTCGCTGAGTGGGTAAGGGTGGGTGGGGAGGCAGACGCCTGCCGCTAGGAGTAGTCGGTAGGGAGGCAAGGTGTGAGCGGTGTGTGGGGGGGGAGGGGGGGCGACAGTGACGCGTGTCTCGGAGGGGGGTGGTGCCAGAAGGCTGTAGGTACGCAGGGTAGACCAGGCGCGGACAGGTAGACCAGACGCGGACAGGTAGACCAGACGCGGACAGGTAGACCAGACGCGGACAGGTAGACCAGACGCGGACAGGTAGACCAGACGCGGACAGGTAGACCGGGCGCGCGCGCACAGGTGAGCGGGAGAGGGGCAAGAGAGGCGAAGCGGAGAGAAGCGAGGGAGAAGGAACGGGCGGAACTGCTCAACGCAACGTGCGCGCACAGGTATGTAGGTGTGTGTGTGTACTATTATCTGTTACTATTATCTGTGGGGAGCGTTTGTGTAGCGGTTAGCGCGCTGCTCTACGAACCTGGCGACCCAGGTTCGAATCCCGCTCACGGCAAACACCAGTGACGATAATTATCGGTAAACATCGCCACTAGGGAGGCAAAGGCGGCCGGGCGTGGTGTTGGCCACCCACCCCCTCGTGTGCCATGCCGGCCTTCATAGGTGCTGGCTAACAGCACTTGCTCCAACAGTCTGTTAAGGCTACACGGGGTAACTTTGTCTTTGTGTATCGGTATGTGTCGAGGCGTGTGTTCTCTGAATGCACTTGCCCCAACAGTCAACGGTGGCTTTGCAGGGGATGATTGAATATAGGTGTGTATGTTGTGTAAGTATGTATATGATTGTGTGTATGGGGAGCGGTAGCGCACTGCGCTACGAACCCGGCCACACGAGTTCGATTCCCGCTCACGGCCAACACCAGCAATGATTGTTTGAACCGCACCCGGGTCTCACCTAGGTCGACTCAGTCTCAATGAGTACCTGGTGACGATGTGTAAACATGGCCGGACGTGGTGTTGACCACCATGCCGGCCTTCATTATGGTGCCACTCGCGAACAGCACTTGCCCCACCAACAGCAGTCCTGCTCAAAGCTATACGGGCGACCTTTGTCTGTGTCTTTATTAGGAGTCGCCGAGTCTCCCATCTCCTGCAAAACGACCGCTCAACCATGCCCGCAGCGTCACCGCCTGCGCTGCAGCAGCTGCCGTTGTTGCTGCTCCCGTTGCTCCTGCTGACGATGTCCTCGGCTGAGCAGCAGCAGCAGCAGCAGCAACAGCAGCCGTGCTACGAGGGCACCCTGCAGCGGAGACAACGCACGGCCACCGTGGTGCTCACGGGCACGGTGGAGGACTTCTTCAACGAGAGGCCGGCGCAGCGAACCTTTGGCTGCAGGGTGAGCGAGCGGATCCCGGTCGCGCGCCTGAGAGAGGGAAAGAGAGAGACGAGGAGGAGGAAGAGGAGGAGGGTCTGTTCGTGGTGTCAGTTTTGGGAGTGTGGTTGGTGGTGGTTGTCGTGGAGTCCGGTCTCATCAGAGGGCGGCACGGTGGCGAGATGTTAACTACCTCGCCTGGTATGCAGGAGTTTTGATCACGACCCTGACGCACTCCTGGGAGATGAGACCAAAAAAAAGCTACAAGCTCACAGCAGATGAGCCAACGCGTAAAAGATGTAGTTTTTTTTTTTAAATCTCCATACCCATCCTCACCCAATTTGAACTTCATCGGCGTAATCATCGTCATCATCAGCCTTGTTAAAACCATTTGTGGATGAAGGCCTCCCCAAAGCCTTGGGGCTACTTCTCACGATCTTGCGACGTAACAATCCATCCAGCTGCAGCACGTAGGCATCCTCTTGGACGCGTTCCATTCTTTGACTTGCCTGCAGGATGAGACGCATCGGTGGCGAGATGTTAACTACCTCGCCTGGTATACAGGAGTTTTGATCCCGACCCTGACGCCTGCTGTATATTTGGAGTCTTCATGTCCTTCCCTCTCCCCGTGGTCGCGTGGATTTTTCTCCGCATCCTGCGGTTTTTTTCCCTCCGCACTTAGAATCAACGTGTGTCTTTCAGAGTACTTGGCTGTTAAACATTTCCACGCGACGATGATAAGCCACTTGGTTGAGCTAGCATTTGTGATTGCCAGGTCGCTTCTGAACAAGAGTTACACAACAGCTCAGTGGGACCTTACCTGGTGAAATAAAAAAAAGAGTTCAGTCTTTTTTTTAGTTATTGCGCATGATGGCAGTGGCAATACGTTCAGCGACGAGAGAGCTTCAGCAGAGAGAGAGAGTTCGTGTCGTGTCGCTGTTCCTCCTCCTCCGTTGAAGGAGCGCAGATCACAATGAGTTTACTGTGTGGGTCCTGCTGAGCTCGGGTTGCATGGCCCACAGTCGCACTGCTGTTGCTTGTCTTTAATGCACCTCTATGGGTCTCTGTGAATCTCCACGTATCTCTGTGAGTCTCTGTATCTCTATGTGTTTCTATATATGTGTGTATCTTTCTCCCCGTCTCAATGAGTCTATGCATCTCGATGTGTCTCTATGGGTTTACTGTGCGGGTCCATAGCTCGGGTTGCATGGCCCACAATTACACTGCTGTGGCTTGTCTTTAATGTATCTCACATGGGTCTCTGTGAATCGCTACGTATCTCTGTGAGTCTCTGTATCTCTATGTGTCTCTATGGGTTTACTGTGCGGGTCCATAGCTCGAGTTGCATGGCCCACAATCACACTGCTGTGGCTTGTCTTTAATGTATCTCTATGGGTCTCTGTGAATCGCTACGTATCTCTGTGAGTCTCTGTATCTCTATGTGTCTCTATGGGTTTACTGTGCGGGTCCATAGCTCGAGTTGCATGGCCCACAATCACACTGCTGTGGCTTGTCTTTAATGTATCTCACATGGGTCTCTGTGAATCTCTACGTATATCTGTGAGTCTCTGTCTCTCTATGTGTTTCTATATATGTGTGTATCTTTTTCCGCGTCTCTATGAGTCTATGCATCTCTATGTGTCTCTATGGGTTTACTGTGCGGGTTCATAGCTCGGGTTGCATGGCCCACAATCACACTGCTGTGGCTTGTCTTTAATGTATCTCACATGGGTCTCTGTGAATCTCTACGTATCTCTGTGAGTCTCTGTATCTCTATGTGTCTCTATGGGTTTACTGTGCGGGTCCATAGCTCGAGTTGCATGGCCCACAATTACACTGCTGTGGCTTGTCTTTAATGTATCTCTCTATGCGTCTCATTGAGTCTCTATGGGTCTCCATATTCTTTTGTTCTTTCGGTAAAGTTACTTAGATAGAGAAAAAGTTATAATAAAAAATAAAAACAACGTCGTTTCGATGGCAACACAAGCGGTCGTCATCAGGATGATGTTGCGATCGAAACGTCGTGGTTTTTATTTTTATTATTTTTTCTATCTGCGTGACTTTACCGATAGAACCAAAGAGTATGAATTCCTGCAGTCACGAAAGTTTTAAGTCAAAATTCTCTACGGGTCTCTATATATCTCTGGGTCTCTATTTATATCTATGGGTCTCTATGTATCTCTGTGTATCTCTATCTTCTTGCGGATGGCGATACGTTCAGGGGCCGAATGCCAATGTCGAGGCGCTGCTGCTAGCCGCGACGAGAGCGCTTCAGCAGAGAGAAAGTTCGTGTCGTGTCGCTGTTCCTCCTCTTCCACCGAAGGAGTGCAGGCCACAGTGAGTTTACGATAAGGTCTCTATGTATCTCTATGCATCTCTATGTTGTCTCTATGGGTTTAATATACGGGTCCATAGGGTGCGTTGCACGGCCCAGAATCGCGCTGCTGTCTGTTCGTCGCAGGGTTTAAATTTGCTTGGTCGTGGCTGTACAAGGGATGTTGATCCTTATGCGAAGTTAACGTATGGCGTTATAAGGGTGCTATTAGCGCGAATGGCGCTACCTAAAATGAAAGTGTCATGAATATTGAGTCTTTAATTTTCCATTCACGAAGGAGATGGGGTGCACCGTCGGCCTGCTGTTGATGTTGTCATGCGGTTTATGGTCACACCACCGGTGCCTTCGAGGAGAGGGATGAGGAACGTTCAAGCTGGGAGGGTTGCGATGTTTGGGGTCTCAAATAAGGTGTTCACCATGAACGTCCGCATGGGGTAAACCATCTGTTGTGTACACACACCCAGACACCCTAATCTCACTCCAGTCACTCACTCGCTCACCGGCAATCGGCCACCTCCCTGTCACTCGTCCGTCGCCACTTCCGCGATTTACTATTCCCGTGAACTTCACTCTTTCATTCCTCGATTCACCTGCGTTGATGACTCTGTGTCCACCAGACCGACTGTCTCATCTCGCCCACCGGGTTCAACCACCACACCGCTGGCCACAACAGCTCACTCACTCATCCATTCACCACACCGCAGGACAACGCACAACTCAGTCACCGACTCACTCGCTCATTCACTCATCTACTCACCACACCGCAGGACAACTTACAACTCACTAACCCGATCATTCGCTCACTAATTCTCTCACTCACCCACTCACTCGTTCGCTCACTCAACCGTTCACTCACTCATTCACTGCCCCACCCACTCGCTCGCTCGCTCACTCATCCACTCACCACACCGCAGAACAACTCACAACTCACTAACCCGATCATTCGCTCACTCGCCCACCCACTCGCTCGTTCACCCGTTGACTTACTCGTTCACTGACCCACTCACTCATTCACCCACTCTCCTACCCACTCACTCACCAGCTCACCACACTGTGTCCAACCACCACACTGCAGGTCACAACGTTTCTCTCTCTCTCTCTGCTGCTGCTCCCTTCTCACTGCTCCACTTTGCAATTCTCCCCTTCCCCCGCCTCTTTTCCGCAAGCTCCTATAACCCTGCTCAAGTCAAGGAATATTTTCACTTTTAGAGTGCTGCTCATTGCTGAACGTATAACGTTTACGCCCTTTGGGCCTGTCGATCATAAACTGTAGACAAAAAAAATACACAAACACACGAATGTGTACCTATACACCAGGGGTGGGGAACTTTATTTTTCTGCCAAGGGCCATTTGGATATTTATAACATCATTCGCGGGCCATACAACATTATCAACTTAAAATTAGCCCGTTATATTTGGTCACACATTTAATTAACTCACCCCATAATGTGATGGCTTGAACTGCTTCTCTTTGGTGAGGCGTGTGATGATGTTAGCCGGAATTGATGATGTTGCTACTCGCAGCTGCTTTTCCAGCTTTGCTCCTAGATTTATTGAATTTCGAGTCCCGCCTGCGATTACCTTGGCAGGGCCACACCAAATGATTCCCCGGGCCTTATACGGCCCGCGGGCTGGACGTTCCCCACCCCTGCTATATATATAAAAAATCCCCTTTATAGCCTTAACAGACTGTTGGGGCAAGTGCTGTTAGCGAGCAGCAGTACCTATGAAGGCCGGCACAGCACACGAGGGAGTGGGTGGCCAGCACCACGCCCGGTCGCCTTTGTCTTCCCAGTGGCGTTTGTTTACACACCGCGCCAGGTACTCAGTTGAGGCCGAGTCGACACACACCTGGACACGCGTCTCCACACACACATACACACACATACACACACGTCCACCGCCGCCTTTGGCTCCAGGGTGAGCGGGCCCAGCTGTGGCTTCTATTGGGATCTGTGGCGTCCGTGCTCTCACGAATCTAAGGCCCCCCCCTGAACCACTTGGAGCCCTCAAGCGTTGCCTTGGCTCGCGTATGCCACGCCCCGCCACCGTGCGTGTGTTAGGGTTCTTGCTCGACAAACAGCAACAGGGCCCCGACGCGTGTTGGTCGGAGTTTGGGCCACTTTTATTAGGCCCAGGATAAGGGTCGCGATTCGTTTTTTGCCGCTCGCCGGGGCGAAGGATTTGCGTCCCGGTGACCCAGCTGCGCCGTGAACCTCGCCGCCCGAGTTCGATTCCCAGTCACGGCTGACAGTCGTCGATGGCGAATTGATATCTGAACCGATTCTGTTGCACCCACACCGCGCCCCCCCCCCCCCCCTTCCAGTTCAACCCTCACTAATCAGCGTGGGGATGTATGGTCACACAGACCCCCCCACCGCCCCTCGATAATCAATTGAATACATACACAGGTGTGCGAGACACGGACAGATATTTTTTCGAAGGTACATAATCGCAAGGCAAATTAAGCATGGCCACGAAAGTGACAACACTTTGTTTCATGAAACCCTCATGTATTTATTAGCATTGTACATTTTTTTACACGATTCAGAACTAAAGGGGTAAAGGTTAAGAACCACTGCTCTAAACGCAAGGTTTCTAAATGTGGAGGGGAAAATTTAACCGGAAGACAGAGAGAAAAATCCACGCGACCATGCGGAGAGAGAAACTCCAAATATACAGCAGCAG